ATAATAAAGGTTGACATAACGGGAAAAGCAGTAAACCACTGAAAAAAGACTTTAAAAGATGAAAAAATTTTTTTGAAATAATTTAGCTGTTTAAAGAAATATAAATGCTTAATCATTGCCTTTTTTGTTTTGTTTTATTCAATGTTACACCTCTTTTTTTTTTTTTTCAATTTCTTCCTTTCTCGGCTAAAATGCACTTCAGAAAACATTTGGCAGATAAACAAATTTTTTCAGTTTCTTCGACTACGTAACAAACAATTAAAGCTTAGAAAGACTGATCTATGCTTTTTGAATAATCAGTCTATCCAAGTCGGCGGTTCAAGCGATACCGTCCAACTACAGCTTGGTCTGTGCCCTGTTCTCTAAGAATCAGACAATTATTCTTCACTTTTATTCAGTAATCCTTAATCTCCACCGTTCCTCCCACCCGTTTCTTTCGTTCAAAAAAAACCTCTAACACGCAAAACTGAATACACTGATCCATGCAGCAGCTTTGCTCGTTCTCCATGCATTTTTTTTTTTGCATGCTCACTTCTCTTCAAAAACGGTTACCATAGACACGAAGAAGAAAAAGAAAAAAAAAAACTTGTCGACCTTATGATTGCTGGTGAAAATAACATTGAGCTTTTCACTATTCAAAATTGTTAAATTACCTTTTTTTTTTCTTTTCATTTGATTCAACAGTTTAAAATTCGTTTCTTTTTTTTTTTCCTTTTTTGCCGGCTATTGTATTATATTTTTACTGTAGCAAAAACGACATAACAGATCTCTGAATTGAACAGCAAAGTTGTCTGCTAATTTTATTCGTCTAACTAACATGAAAAAAATGATATTAATTGAAATGACGACAAATCTAATCTGTTGTCAGTGTCGTTGCAACAAAAAAAGAAATAAAAAACAAAGTAATATAGTATAAATTTAGAAAAAAATTTTTTAGTAAATTTTAGATATAAACAAAGAACAATATGTGAACTGGCAGAAATTAAAAGTAATGACAATAACAGATTTTTTTTTT